CATATCATTTACCATCCAAATAAAACAAAATTCTATCTTCTAGCATTTCATTCATATAATACTAGTTACCTATAGTCAAAACATGTTTGTTATAATATCTCATTGTCTTTCTTCTATCACTGAAATTATTCCCAAAGCTTGTTATGATTCCAGAATAAGAATTAAAAGAAAGGTGCAAGGCAAAATAAATCCCATTTCCTTGGAAAACATATAAAAATGTATAAAAAATTGCAAACTGTGACTATTTTTTAATGCTAAACATCACTTTCTATAGTAGAAATAAGGTTTATATATATTTATACTTTGGGCAAAAATTAACAGAATAACAGCCTGGATTTGAAAAGAGGAAGAGGGAAATATATAAAAATAAAGAGAAAGGCTTACTTTGAAAGCAAATATCTTAGAGTCTTTACTAGCACAGGCTGTGGTCTGATGTCTGAGGCTTTGATCTCATGTCCCGCTGCTGATCTCGAAAATTCCTTGACCATGAACCGTGCCTGTGCTATGTTTGTTCTTTGGCCATTCTCACTGATTGCCATCTCCAATGGATGGATTAATCTTTCTCTCTGTCGTCTGTTAGAGAGAAAAACAAAGAATAAGAAAGGACGAAGAAGAAAAAAAGTTACTTTATCAATTTTTTTTTTTCAGAGTATATACATATAATAAGAATAATATGGAAAAAAACAAAGTTATACATGAATGGCATGATTTTCCTTTAATAACTTGTTTAACATCCATAAAGGCAACTTACAGCCGCATCTCTGCGTTGGGGCACATTCCCATGCATTTTCCTATGAGATACTTAGACCCATTTTCACTGGTGTTATTCATTTTCTGTAAAGATTTTTTTTTTTTTTTTTTTTATATGAAGTGATATGCAATCTTTGGGTTTGTATGCAACCACATATGTATAACTAAAAATTGATAGGCAAAAACAATAAAAGACAAAAAATGTAAAGGCACATTTGAATACATAACGTGTTCTAATTATGCCTACTGTAATTAGGATAAAATGCCTGCAATGTGTGTTACAACTTTTGTTGTTGGGAGGTGAAACACAGGATTTAGCTTCCACCCATCTCCGGCCATGGCAGCTTGATTTTCAAAATGAAGATTTCAAACAAATTTTCTAGGACTCTGTTGGTTTTCTATTATTTTTTTGCATGTTTCATATACACAATAACCTGAAGTATTGCATTTTTTATCACCATTTAATCAAATAACAAACTAATGCTTTACAAGTAATTGAAACTATAAGATAAAATACATTTTTATAAAACACAATCCTAATATTTTGTCTGTTAATCTTATGAATAACAACTGTTTACCTTGAATTTTATGCGTGCCATTAATAAGAATCTATGAGACCAATACATAACATAAATAAAGGATAAGTATATGTGTAATGTCTAATGATTTAAATTCTTTCAATGAAAATAAATATACATGAAAAGGACTAAAGTCAGCCAAGTGGAAAGGGACATACTCAGGTCATGTTTCACATTTGTTCTATTACTTTGCTTTTCAATATGGTATACAATTTGTAAAAGTCATTATTGCCTGTTTGTTGTCATAATCTTTAAAATTGATTATGTAAAGATTTTTATTAAAAAAACAACAACCGTGAAATTTGATTAAGAAATTCATTAAAGCCTAGCATGGCAATTTCACTTACCTAATCCATTTTTTTTAATCCAATACATTTTTTGTACTGAGAAAATGCAAATATTATTTCATGTATGTATTAAGAAAAAATCACATGAAAAGAATGGAAATACTCCATAGTTTTAAATAAATGACAGCCTAAAATAAATGGGTCATATTGCAACACAAAAGAAGCTGACGACCCAGCAGTGGGTTGCAATGCAGGCTACATGTTAATCTATTGTTATGATGATAAAGAAGGTAGTAAAAATAGGATAGGAAATGTCTGTTCATATAATAAAATGAAAAAGGCTAAGAACAGTATCAGTAATTTCAAAATTTCATGTCTTGTGTTCTTCTAAAATACTTTGTGAAATTGCTGAGATTGCCCCTATATCTACATTTGAATGATAAATATAAACATAAAATTGAAATCATAGGATCAAATACACTAGAAAAATGGTTAAACATCCTCCTAGTGCACTATCCATGAAAGAATAAATACCAAAAAGAAATACATTATTATATGGACCAGATGCATGAACCAAAATTAATCATAGGTGATTTCAATGCACACCATCCTAACTGGAACCCAGGACTAAACAGACAAACCAATGTTTCAGAAAAAAAGATATATGAATTGATAAGCCAAAACAATATTCTATAATTAACACCAACCAAAACAATATTCTATAATTAACACCAACCAAAACATGTAAAAGAACTGATTCAGAAACATATATAGTATCCACCATAAAGCTTATAATTGGGTCCCCTTCACAAATAGTTGGTTTATCAAAATCTTGCAAGGGCTAACCAAATGAATATTCATTATGTGGACATATATATACACAGA